ATCCCTCTCTGCTATGAGATCAGGCTGCTTAAGTAAGCTGGTGCACGAGTGGGAGTGGCGTGTATAGGAAGCCCGGGGAATATCAACGATGGAGGCCCTCCCTACCAATTGACGTGCCTGGTACCTGGTACAACACAAACGGAGGACGAAGATAAAGGCATCCCCAGCTGTTACAAAGGCGGAAGCGGATGGGGATGTCGGCACTCTCTACTGCGAATGCGGAAGGGGGCTAAAGGGAACGAGCGGAGCTTCTTCGGATAATGGCCGGGTTAGCGGCAATCTCCCTCAACTACATCAGCAGACTGCTTAAGCAAACAGGATAGCATACCTGCCTACTTCAGCAAGCAGGGCAACAGCCATTATTGATGAGGGTAAGCGGTCAATGTTCGGATAATGGATCAGGAGAGCAGCTTTAGCAAGCTGGAAAGCTGAAACAAGGAGCCAGTGGAAGAGGATCAATTTGAATACGAGCAGGGCCAAATCCAAAACGTGGCCCCTCTCCATAAATTCCACCGACAAGCGAAAAATTGCAGAAGCGTATGGTTTTGGGTAAGTTACCTACACTACTCGCATTTGGTTACTTCATAGAGGGATATCAAGTGAAATGGTTAATTAAATATGGAGGTGCTTTAACATGGCTTGGGCGATTTGTTGTGGTTGATTTTTGGCGGCCGAGACGAATGGGGTTGATCGGGGAGCATCGTCGGTTAAATGCTAAGTTGTTCCATGACATCTTTTGGAGTACCTAGTTCATGAAGCCGATGGATTTTAGCTATATAGTAAGGTGAGTGTAAAGGGGGTAAATTCTACGCCTTACATATTCTTTTAAGTATTATGATCTTAAGTATTTTAGTGAATTGGTTACCATTGCTTGATTAAGTTTGTGATTGATTATTTGTGCTTTTCTTGAGCTATGATTTGAGGTGATTTGGGGTGATTTTGTGCTATTTACCTTAAAGCGTTATGTTATGATTTATTGTTAAAGTTTAAGAAACAAGGTCTTTTTAAGAAGTAACTCACCTTCAAGAAGGTGAAGGCGTTTTAAGTGTTTTTAGTCACTAGCGCCAGTCCGTTGCCTTTTGAGACATAATGAAATAGAGCAGCAGTTATGCTCTTGAGACTTTTAAGATGAGTAGCAGTTATGCTCATGGTGAAGAGCCACCACGACAAGTTTAAGATGTTAGGGGGATGAATCGTTACGACTCCCCTAACTAAGTTTAAGTTTAAGGAAAGCCTGAATGGCTTCTCATACGTATGAGTTGGCAACCGGATTAGCTAGTGAGGGATCCCCGTGTCAGTCAAGTATTTAAGTCAATATTTAAGCTTTAAGAGAGGAGAGTAACTTCAACTCCCTCAAAGTTTAAGAGTTAAGCTTTTTAATAGTGGAAGTACAAAACAACTTCCACTCAGTTAAGTAAAGTGATCAAGTATTAATAAGATGTTAAACGTAAGGGCGTAGACTGACCGTAACTCACTCACCAGGCCTTAGTAACGGAATGAGTGAGAACCAGATCGGTAGCAGCTAGCTAGAGGAGCATTTAGAGAGCAGCGAGTTCGAGAGGAAAAGCTCGAGGGTAGCCAGCTAGAGGAGGGCAGTGCAAGCGTCACGAAGGATGCCTAGTTAAGATTTTCAGTAGCGGCAACGACATAGACTACCTAGTTATTTACATTTTATGATTATGAGTATAGACTGGAGAACATATTGAGATTTAAAGTTTGAGTTTAATTTGCCCACGTGTTAGGGCTTTGCTTTGAACTACAAGTGTGTTTTTAGCATTTTATTTATGAAAATTTATCCCACCTGAAATTTAAGATTTTAGTATTTTATTTGTCAAGGGCATTTTAGTAAAAGTAGTACCCGGACGGGTTAGGGTGTTTCATTTTGTTATCAGAGCCTGGTCTTCCTCTGTTCCTTGGTTTCAAAGGAATACTGGAATGTCGGTCTCATTTTGTAAAGGATTTGTTTCAAAGGAAAGGAAAATGAGGCAAGGGTCTTCTTTTAAGAGTTTATAGAATCTCCAGTCTACTCTAATCATAATAAGGTGAATAACTATTACAACACGACACTACGAGAAGGTAGCACGAGGGTGCAATTGGTTTAAGAATAAGCTAGGACGCGAGTTAAGTCAACACGTCGTGGGACGTCAAATAAGAGATGGAGGCGTACGACGATCATCAGTAAGAAAGAAATGATGAAAGAAACGTGACCAACCCAAGTAGAATCTCAAAGGCTCTCAAGATCAAGTATCTCATCGACATGATGGATAGTAGTTTTTCAATTAGTTAACCAACTACTCGGACGTTAGCAAACAGATCATCATCATCAACATAGAGAAGGAAGGAGGAACGTTGCAAAGGTCTGTGGAGGTAGAATCAAATGTGCGAGGACTTCAACTCCACACACCATCAAAGTGGTGCCAATTGAAAGGGAATACCTCAAGGATTTTGAAGGAGTTGAGAGAGTAGTACGAGGATTTTACTACTAGGAAACAAGTGGATGATCTAATAAGCTAAGACAAACAAAGGGGAGAAATATGAATCTCCAAAGGAAGAGGAACAGCCACCAGACGCCAGTAGCTATGATAATAGGATGATGTTAGGGTCTTTGGTCCTAAGCAGTGGAAAGTGGGTAACGGGTCAAGAAACGAAGAGGTACCACGAGAAGTCCCTCAACTAGTTTTAGTGGTCAACGCTATTACAACACAGTGACAAGGAGCAGCGGAAAGCTTAGACATCAAGACAAGCTAGGGTATTATAAATGAGGTAAAGGAGGAAATAAGTAGGTTAGAGGGGGGTTCTGAAAGGACGCCAAAAGTCAAAAGTTTAAGAAGGAGAGGAGGCATGGTCGTTTACATATGACGATGAAGGAACCCTTATAGATAAACCACGTAACTGGAGAAGAGGGTACTTAACCCTGGGGAGTTAGGCCGATGACAAACCTTTAGAAGGAACAAGACAAGCAACGAGATAAATGATGTAGAGGGAAAGTTATGGTCTCAGTACGACCACCATTGGACGAGATGTGGAGGAAAGTGCCACCAAATTCTAAAGCATGCCTGGTAGAAGACAGTGGGGAGTCAATACACAAGAAAAGACATGGATTGTGAGAGAGAATAACAGTTAGCTAGTAGATGGCAGTACAAATAGAGAACCACTTCTCAGAAGTGCGTGAGTTGGATACCACGATAACACCGAGTTAGAAGGAGGATAGTAGAGACCCTACAAACTACCCAGATCACAAAAGGTCACGGAGGATGCCTAGTTAAGATTTTCAGTAGCAGCAACGACATAGACTACCTAGTTATTTACATTTTATGATTATGAGTATAGACTGGAGAACAGATTGAGATATAAAGTTTGAGTTTAATTTGCCCACGTGTTAGGGCTTTGCTTTGAACTACAAGTGTGTTTTCAGCATTTTATTTAAGAAATTTGTCCCCCCCCTGAAATTTAAGATTTGAGTATTTTATTTGTCAAGGGCATTTTAGTAAAAGTAGTACCCGGCCGGGTTAGGGTGTTTCATTTTGGGCAGTTTGTGAGAAGAGAATATGGGCACCAAGATGACTACATCGAGGACGAGGGACATATAGAACTAGCGAGAAATATCGGTAAGAGGAGTCACGAGTAAAGAAGTAAGATGGATATGAGTTTGGCAAACCTGCTAGGATACCCTAAAGTGAAAGCAATACCACCTATGAGGGTGAAATGTGACGATCTCTCGGGAGAAAATTTCTTGGATGGGGAAACTGTACGAGGAATTTCAGGAAAGGTCAAAGAACAATAGAAGAGATCGTACGAGAACTCCCAAGTTAAACGGTGATAAGGAAGTGTTAAGTTAGGCGCCATGAGTGAGAAAGTACTCAAAATGGAAGGTTATGATTCTGGAAAGAAGTCATAAAGTTGATCTCAAGCTAGAGAAAGATGCAAAGGATGCCTCTAATGCATACAGAAAGTCGAAGTAGTAGTATGAGGTTTCAAAGTTAGGCAAGAAGTAACAAGAAGATGACCACTCAGTTTATGGTTAAAGGATAAGACGTGGCATCAAGTAGGAAAGTAAGGGATGCAAAGTTAGAATATACAAGGACCTAGGTGACCTATGAGGTCACCCCTAGACGAGAGTTACGTTAAAAGGGTTTAACCATCTGACTAGATGGAAGATAAGCCGCCATCAGTGACCTTGTGGTTGGAGAGGGGCATTAACTTCTCATGTATAGGTGCAGCCTAGGTGGTGTGAGGGGTTAAGAAGCCACAACAACATTGAAGTTGCAGGGAGTGGAGAGAAGGATTTATAGTTCAATGTCGTACGAGTTAAAGGGGGTACAATTCCTTGTACAGAGAAGTATTACAAGCGACGCTTGGGGTCATCACAAAGAACAAATTTCGCGGAAGGAAATGTGATACCTCAATTTGGATCTAGATTAAACAACCAACTACTGAATGAGTTGGACCATGAATCATATCGAATCGAAATTTTGTTTAGGATGCGACTGGGCCAAGTTGCTTAGAATTAAAAGTGCAATGAGTCACTCAAACCTATCTGATGCTACCAAGCTAGATGAGAATATATGTTATGGTCAAGAGTACATATAAGAACTATCGTAAGCTATTAAAGACAAGGTAAGGGCACGCCATTGAAGTTCATATAGAAAGAGTGAAATCTTGAGCCAAAGAAGCACGAGAATGAGTAGTATGAAAGGATGAGCCCGATCAAATTTCGGGGACGAATTTTTTTTATAACGGTGGAGGAAATGTTACACCCCGCTCTTCCCAAAAGTCAAAATGACTATTATACCCTTGGGTCAAGTTCCACCGTATTGTCCATAAGGATTAAAAATGTGAACTATCAGTTCAAGCGGTGTCGAATTTCGACATAAAATGAGAAAGTTACAGACATTAATTGAGTTTCGGATTAAACTCACCCGCAAGTGTGAATTTCCACAAATAACCTTGGACTAACTAAAACTCTAGACTTTTATTCTACCCCACTCGGGCTCACCCCAATGGAAAAACCGAACCCTAATTTCAGGCGCCCTCAACTTTCCCACCACATTCCTACGTATCGAGACCTGCCTGGGCAACAACCGTCGGATGGGTGGGAAGGAGCTAGCGCCCAATGGAAATCAGCCATCCCTCTCTGCTACGAGATTAGGCTGCTTAAGCAAGCTGGTGTACGAGTGGGAGTGGCGTGTATAGGCAGTTTGGGGAATATCAACGATGGAGGCCCTCCCTGCCAATTGACGTGCCTAGTACCTGGTACAACGCAAACAGAGGACGAAGATAAAGGCATCCCTAGCGGTTACAAAGGCGGAAGCGGATGGGGAATAAAGGCGGAAGCAGATGGGGATGTCGGCACTCTCTACTGCGACTGCGGAAGGGGGGCTAAAGGGAACGAGCGGAGCTTCTTCGGATAATGGCCGGGTTAGCGACGATCTCCCTCAACTACATCAGCAGACTGCTTAAGCAAGCAGGATAGCATACTTGCCTACTTCAGCAAGCAGGGCAACGACCATTATTGATGAGGGTAAGCGGTTAGTGTTAGGATAATGGATCAGGAGAGCAGCTTAAGCAAGCAGGAAGGATGAAACAAGGAGCCAAAGGAAGAGGATCAATTTGGATACGAGCAGGGCCAAATCCAAAATGTAGCCCCTCTCCATAAATTCCACCGACAAGCGAAAAATTGCAGAAGCGTATGGTTTTGGGTAAGTTACCTACACTACTCGCATTTGGTTACTTCATAGAGGGATATCAAGTGAAATGGTTAAGTAAATATGGAGGTGCTTTAACATGGCTTGGGCGATATGTTGTGGTTGATTTTTGGCGGCCGAGACGAATGGAGTTGATCGGGGAGCATCGTCGATTAAATGCTAAGTTGTTCCATGACATCATTTGGAGTACCTAGTTCATGAAGCCGATGGATTTTAGCTATATATTAAGGCGAGTGTAAAGGAGGTAAATTCTACGCCTTACGTATTCTTTTAAGTATTATGATCTTAAGTATTTTAGTGAATTGGTTACCATTGCTTGATTAAGTTTATGATTGATTATTTGTGCTTTGCTTGAGCTATAATTTGAGGTGATTTGGGGTGATTTTGTGCTATTTACCTTAAAGCATTATGTTATGAGTTATTGTTAAAGTTTAAGAAACAAGTTCTTTTTAAGAAGTAACTCACCTTCAAGAAGGTGAAGTCGTTTTAAGTGTTTTTAGTCACTAGCACCAGTCCATTGCCTTTTGAGACATATTGAGATAGAGCAGCAGTTATGCTCTTGAGACATTTAAGATGAGCAGCAGTTATGATCTTGAGAATCGTGGTGAAGAGCCACCACGACAAGTTTAAGATGTTAGGGGTATGAATCGTTACGACTCCCCTAACTAAGTTTAAGTTTAAGGAAAGCCTGAATGGCTTCTCATACGTATGAGTTGGAAACCGGACTAGCTAGTGAGGGATCCCCATGTCAGTCAAGTATTTAAGTCAAGATTTGAGCTTTAAGAGAGGAGAGTAACTTCAACTCCCTCAAAGTTTAAGAGTTAAGCTTTTTAATAGTGGAAGTACAAAACAACTTCCACTCAGTTAAGTAAAGTGATCAAGTATTAATAAGATGTTAAACATAAGGGCGTAGACTGACCCCAACGCACTCACCAAGCCTTAGTAAGGGAATGAGCGAGAACCAGATCGGTAGCAGCTAGCTAGAGGAGCAGTTAGAGAGCAGCGAGTTCGAGAGGAAAAGCTCGTGGGTAGCCAGCTAGAGGAGGGCAGTGCAAGGGTCACGGAGGATGCCTAGTTAAGATTTTCAGTAGCAGCAACGACATAGACTACCTAGTTATTTACATTTTATGATTATGAGTATAGACTGGAGAACAAATTGAGATTTAAAGTTTGAGTTTAATTTGCCCACGTGTTAGGGCTTTGCTTTGAACTACAAGTGTGTTTTCAGCATTTTATTTATGAAAATTTGTCCCCCCTGAAATTTAAGATTTGAGTATTTTATTTGTCAAGGTCATTTTAGTAAAAGTAGTACCCGGCCGGGTTAGTGTGTTTCAGCCTTCACGGGTCATCCGACAGAGCCATGCTACACTCCACAGCCAGATCCAAACTATCACTTGAGGCTTCTCGTAGAGCAGATTTCTCGAGTACCTGAGAGATCCTTTCCCGAGATGGATCCTCATATCCAGGACATGGCCCAAACTGACTTCTCCTTTCCCCGTGAAATAGAGGATACCCTTCGGAGCATAAAGAAGCACATAGCGGTCATTGAGAAAACTTGTGCACAGTTTTCTCAAGACAACCTTTATGCCGCCGTACAAGTAGATGAGGAGGAAGAAGAAGGCAATCATGAGGATGTTGAGGAGCATACAGAAGTTGTCACGGAAAGCTCCCATGATAATCATGATCAAGTGTATCCTCTGGTGGTAGATCACAATTGTCCCCATTTCCGCTCTGATATGCTGGGCCCGAGCGAGGAGATGCAAGATGAATAGATGATCTCATTGAAGAAATTACATGGCGACTTGCTCTCCAATCTGTGCTAGAAGAAGAAGAGCGAGAAAGGGTGAGGGAAGAAGTTGTGAAGGACGAGGAAGAGAGCAAAGAAGAGGAAGTTCTTGATCTTTTCCAAGGGGAGAAACCAAATTATGATGAAGGAAGGGGGTCAAAGAAGCAAGTGGTGTCCAGGCTGAGGATGAAGTTGAGGTAGAAGAGGCATGCACCGGCCATGAGTTACATGTGATATCTCCACCAAACTTCGAGGAGCTGCTTGGCAAGGACCCATTTGCAGTGTCTCTTTGCCAGACCAAGACCACATCAACATTGATCCCTCTTGGTGGATGCGATGGTGGTCAATCGAATATATCTTATCTGGTTTGGGGAAATGAGACAAGAGTAGATGCGAAGGAGAGGTCTCGAGAGTGGAGACTTCATCTTCCTCAAGGCCACGAGCCATCTTCATCACCTATCACATCACATGCTCGTGACTTGAGACTCCACATTATCGATGAGAACCTCACCTTCAAGGAGGTTCTGGGGTGGACCGAAACTTAGGAGCCACCGTCGAGCTAAAGACGTAAAAGAAGCGCTTGTGGGGAGACAACCCCACCAAGGTTTGTTTTTCTTTTGTTTGTTTTTCGGTTTGTCCACTTGGAACTATGGTTTCTATCACCCAGTGTGTTTTGATGACTCTAGCCCTGCTGACTGGTCCCATTTCCAGCCCCCCGACAGTCCGTATCCCCGGTAACATCGTTTCCCCTTATCATTCTCTCTGCTCCATTGAGGGCAATGTCGTGGTTAATTGTGTGTGTGTGTGTGGGGGGGGGGTGTTTATCTATCTTTGACTGCTAGATGAGTTTGTGTGCTTGGAGCCTAGTCCACTGTCAAATTTGATGAATTGAGGGCTCCAAGTATCGTTCCCTGCAAAATCCTGCTCAGTATCCTTGGTGATATGCAACCTAGGGAGGTAGTTGTAGCACTATGGAGGATGTTGAAGTATAAGATTTTTCCTACCTGTCTCTCTGCTGTGCCGGTTGATTTTGTGAACTAGTGGATTTAGGACCGTTGATTCATGTGGTATTGATGACTCCTCTTATGTTGTGTTGTGGACTCCTGTATCGAAAAAGGGGTGCTCATATGCGAAATGAAAAAGCAGTTGGTCCTCCATGTAAAAAATTTGAAATTCTAAGACATGGGGTAAGCCCAACGTGTGTGGCACCGTTCATTGTCACAAAATCGGGTTTTGGAAGAGATTTTAGTGATCCTTGGTGGGGTAGGCCTACAAGATGAAGATAATTTTTCTCTAGTACAAGTAAAATTTCCACCCGTTGAACGGTTTTCCTACTTGAGGATGTGTTTTTAAGGGCACAGATAGAGCTTCCGACCCCCCTTATTTCATTGACCCTCCACACGAAGTGAGGAATAGGAGTTAAAAGAAGTACTCTAGCGAGTGATAGATGTACATAAATTGCTCTTGCTCACCTTATAAGTGCAGACCGCGTATACAAACTATAGTTGGAACCCCAGCAAAATTAAAAAAAAAAGAAAAAAAAACAAATAGTAAGAAGAAGGGGTTTCAACAAGTGAAATGAAATGAAAGAGCACCCGATACAATGAGTCCTGGCCCCTGGGTAGTTGAATTGTGTGAGTCTCCTTATCCATGAATTGACTGTCTTAGTTCCACTACTTATGATCCTGGCTTGAGTCTAGTACTCGCATTGAGACAGATAGGGGGTGTCTTAGAAGACCAGTTGACCTCGTAAGTTGCTAAATGATCTAGAAAATCCTCTGCCGACGATCGGGGGTGCATGTTGCTATAGTGGTCTGAAGAGTTGCATTGGTTTGAGTCAGGTTTGCTTTGGGACAAGCAAACGGTGAAGTGTGGGGGAATTTGACGACTTGATATATACACATGTTTTTATCCAGCATTCCTGTACCGTTTGAGTCTCATCTCTCGTGTTTTAGGCCGATTTCACGCTAGGTTCTTCTTGTTTGTGATATTTCAGGTCCTAGTACGTGAAAGAAGGATTGGGCACGAGTTCGGGGTCGATTGGACGAAGTTGGGGCATTTGACGAAAAGCTGGAAAAGCCACACGAGCACGCCTAAAAACCCACACGGCTGTGTGACCTGGCCGTGTGGCACCAAATTGCACGGGCAAGCCACACTGGCCGTGTAGGAGACCCCTTGTGGTCGTGTGGAAAGTCCAGGAAGCTCACAAGCGCACGCCTAAAAAGCCACACGACCGTGTGGTCTGGAATTTCTGGGTTTTAACCCAAATTCGAGCCAAAGGAGAGAGAATCGACTCTTTGGAGCAAAAACAGAGCCCTAGAGAGAGAAAGTGTGAAGAACACCCCCTAAGAGTGGTTTTGGAGCTGGGTTTCATCAATCAAGCTTGGAAATCATCCTTGGAGTGAAGATCATCATCCCATAGCAGATTCTTCCCATCTTGATGATTATGACTGCTTTGTTTGCTGTTTTCCTCTCTCTCTATGGAGTAGAACCCTCTCTCACTTGGGTATGAAGAACCCTAGTTCTATGTGTTAGGAATCATTGTTGTAACGACTTTTGGATTGTGATATTGCTTGATTATAATTGATTGAAGTGTTTTGATTGAGTCAATTGAAGTCTGATCATCTTTTATTGATTTCTGCTGCAACCTGGGATAGATAGAATCTGATTAGGTTGTTAGAGCTTCTTCAATCGGTAGTAGTGAATCGATTATACGAGAGTTAGTCGATTCACTGCTTTGTACTGGAATCTAATTCAAGTAGTGAAGTTCTGTGTTCATTGCCTCGGCGTTCTATCCTGGTGAAGACTAGTCGTCTACCGGGTAGTTTGATTGAGAGGGCTTGGTCAGCTTAAGAGATTCCAAGCCACTGTCGGATCTTCCGCAGTATAATCAGTAGTAAAGAAACCAAAATTAATTATA